GAGAACGGGTCAGTAGGTGCAGCAAACCACCACGGCACATGTATACCTATATAACTAACCTGCACGTTCTGCACATGTATCCCGGAACTTAAAAGATAAATAAAAAAGAAAAAAGAAACTCGTCCCCATGATCCAATCACCTCCCATCTCCAGCACTGGGGATTACAATTCAACATGAGATTTGGTTGGGACACAGACCCAAATCATATCAGGGAGTATTCTGTTTTATTTAAGTCTTGGTTAAAGTAACAACAGATGTGAGAGCTAATATGCAAAAGAACAAAATAAGGTTCTCTAAATGGTTTGCATTTGGTTTGGCTGGGGTTAAACCACAGTTCAAGGAAGAATTGCAGGGTTCTTCAGTGGGAAAAAACATTTGCCATTTGCCTCTTTCAGTTAGTTGTAAGACACTGGGCAAATTAAGTATTTCAAACCAATTTTCTCATCTGCAACACAGGAGTAATGAAAAGTGACTGGCCATAGTGCCTGAAACACAATAGGTGCTCAATAAATCTTGATCACTGTGTGAGAGAAGATACATAGAGGTGAAGTAACTTGTCCAAGTTTACAGATGTAACCATGCTCCCAAGTGCTAGCATATTAAAATCATTTTAGGGCCAGGCATGGTGGCTACCTTCTGTAATCCTAGCACTTTGGAAAACTGAAGCAAGAGGATCACTTGAGCAGCCCAGGACTTCAAGACCAGCCTGGCCAACAAAGTGAGACATCGTCTCCACAAAAATTAAACAAAATTAGCCAGGCGTAGTGATGCACTACTGTAGTCCCACTACTTGGGAGGCTGAGGTGGGAGGATCACTTGAGCCCAGGAGGTCGAGGCTGTAGTGAGCCAAGATCGCACCATTGCATTTCAGCCTGGGTGACAGAGGGAGAACTTGTCTAAAAATAAAATCATTTTGCTTTCAGTTCCTTAGAAATATGTAAACTGTTCATGATCCATGTGGTACAGCTCTGTAACTCAAGAACAGTCACCCTTATTCTGACAGAGATCACTATACTAACACAGAGCTATTTTGTTTTCTCATGAATATATCATCGTTTCTCATTTGAAATGGAGGATTTTAAAGTACTTGGTGCATAAACTTGCCTGGTCTAAGGAAGGCTGAATGATTCCATCCTTGTCACTGGATACTGAGATCCAGAAAGTAGAACAGAGCTCCTTGATCCTATCGGTGTAAACCATACCGAGTGTGGTAAAAGAACCATTTAAAGAAATTAAATATACCTCTGAAACAAAATCCTGAAGCCAATATTCTGGATGCCAAATTAATGGTTTAGGGGATGTGTCGGGGGCTTCTGTTTTACAGTTATCACAAGAATGTTACCCTTTCATTTTGGTTTACATATTCTACTTTTCACAAACAGTTCTCATTTTTAAGCTTAGCTCAGTACCCACTATTCTGAAAATTTGCTTAATTTGGTCTGGTGGATGGAAGAAAATGAATTAGAATTTAAATGTAACAAAAAGCATCTGAATGCAGTGGAATGAGAACTGGAATAAAAGGTAGAAGACATGAGTGCCCTGGTGCACCTTTTCCCCTCTCTGGGCCTTTGTCTTCCTGATTGTAAAGGGAGGTGTATGGGCTACATGGACTTTAAGACCCCTACTGTCTCTGGCACTCTAAGGTTCTACAAGTCCTCCTCAACCTCACAAACAGGCATTTCTAGAATATAAGGCTAGAGTTGGGGAAAGATGTCGCAGGCAGGCACTTCGTCTGAGCTTAGCACATCCAGGGATAGTGTGTGCAAGACGAGGGAAGACAGGGTGGAAAGCTTGCTAATAGAATAAAAGGTTTACTTTGTTAAGGATAATTAGATCCAAGTAAGCCTGCATCGCTAAAGCCTTTGAAGCCCAACCTCTCCACACTGTATTGTTGAAAACTTACTAAGAGTTGGGGATAAAGTAGTAAGACTTCAAATAGTGGTAAACCACATCCCCCTCCCACCTTTTCTTAAGTTTGGTTTTGTTTTCATTGAATGTATTCAATAGGCTAGTGTGTCTACCTGCTTTGCTACTGGCATGTGGAGCACAAGCAGCTACAGAAAAAAGTAATGATTCCTGTTTCACCCATCTATTAGTTTTCTTTTTTGTCATAGAATTTGACTATAAAACATACATCTCAAAAAGTGTTCCATGTAGTTACACAGGAGTCAACATAAACAAATATTGCCTCTTACTATGAACTTTTTCCAGACCAGACAATGTAAACATTGGTCTAATTTGGCTTTAGTTACAAACAATAGAGTGGTAAATCACCAACTATTTGCTTAAAAGTGGACTTCACAAAACTGATCTGTATTTTCATTGATGTTTTGTCATGTTCATAACCCAATCAGCCAACCAAAATACAAGAATCAGATTCTTAAACATGTTTTTTTCATTTTCTGCAATGAGTTCCAAAGGCAGTAGGAAGCTCTGGGAGAGCCTCTGGGCAAAAGATAAAGGTTACAGCTAGTGGAAGTGGTGATGAGAGCCAATTACAACTTACCTGCTTTGTCATTAAAATGTCAGACCTCTCATTTTTCTGCACAGAGGGAAAAAAAAAGGTATAGCTTAGTAGGGGAGAGGGTTAGCCAAAGGGAAGGGATTTCTAATGCTTACAAATTTGCCCTGTAACCTTAGACAAACACATTGCGTTTTGGCTGTGCTTTCCTCACAGTTTAATTCAGGGAGGTGAACAGGACTTGAGAAATCACCTGGCCTAGTCCCCTGCCCTCTAGCAGGCAAAGTATTATATATTCCCATTTTTCTCAAAGTAAATGTGAAGGACCTAGAGAATTTAAATAACTAGAATATGTCTTTTGCCTCCTTAAGTGCAACGGATTTGATTTTGGTTTCACTTATAGCTTGTCATAAGGAAAACATTAATTATTCTCACTTCTCTCACAGATACGTTGTGTATAGGTTAACACATGGTAACTACAAAGCACGTTGAAAATACTAAGGAAAGCTTATAACATTACCCACAAAGATACTAGCACTTTGAATGAATGGGTCCCACGGAAATGTAACAGAAATGTATTTCACTCTTAAGAACTGGCTTGGGGAAAAAAAGTAGAATTACACTCAAAGGACCAACCTCACTTTCTGCAAATGTAAAGGAGTAACAAAAAATTTAGAAAGACCATTACATTTGAGAGTAATCAGAATAAGTGAACTTTTGTGTGTGTAAAAATAAAAATTCCAAAACAAAGGCTTCTCAGGGGGAGAGTAAAATAACAGGTTTTTCTTGTATCATTGTAAAACTTCACTATCCTATGCAACCTCTAATGATTTTTTTTCCTTTTGTCCTTCATGCTTGAACTAATTATCTTCCTGTCTCCAATCTTTCTTCACCTTGCATTCTAAACCAAATTACCCTCACCCAAATCACCATCTTTACTTGCTAAACATATCATCTGCCTCACAAACCCTTGTTATCCTCTATACTGAATTACTCATTCAGGATTTCAAGGCTCTTTATCAATCCACTCCAATTTAAGTCTCTTCGGTGATTCCTCTTTGTTCTGTTTCAGTACTATACTTTCTCCTCATATAACTAAAGCAAATCCCATCCTTGCATCTGATAAGCCATCTTTCTTTACCTATCTTGAAAACCAATACGTATTTGACACGAGGACCACAGGGATGAACCTGGGTATACTTAATAGGTAAAAGTATCTTAGTAGTCGTCTGGTATGTATAGCTGAAGATTACAGCAAAGCTCCTCCCTCCTTTACGTTTCTATCAGAGAAGGGTAGAATGTTCGGGAACAGATTGTAGAGGAGTGTTGCTGGGTAGAGATTGCTTGTGATATGTATGTATTAAAGAGGGCCTGCTTGCAGTATTTTAGGATTTGCCTCACTCCTTCATTCTTTCAATTAAAGTTGTATTCTTATTTACTAAAAGCCTCAATTTACATGCTCTTTCTTGGTGAAGGTGTGTGCGCAGCAGTCACGATCAGAAAGATCCCTAGAGAGCAAAGAGGAAGGATGATTCTCTTTAGGGGCACAATTGTGTCAGGAAGGTTATTCCAAAGAGAGTGGTAGTGCCTATCATAAGGGAATTTTATGGCAGCTCTTGGGGGTTAGCCACTATCCTACTACACCCAACACTAGTGATGTGAACAGTTTAGTTACCTGGCAGATACTGAATTTTGACACAGTATATATTTTGGATTTAAAACTTTTTATTCACCCCATATAATAGTATATATAAAATGTTGCAAAGATGAAAGCATTTCTGAAAGTTGGTCACTCCCTTGGGACTGGCTCAGATTATAGACTTGAAAAAATTAATGGTAGAAAAATGTTTATTCTCTAAGGGCAGATTTGATTTGGAGATAGCCAAGTCATTTGAGACTGAGTCTGGTGAAATAAAGTAGTAACAACCTGAACATAATTTTTAGTAAAATAAACATGTAAAAGGATTGACCTGTTTTATTGTTAGAATAGTCTCTATAGCCTCACAATATGCTACCCTCAAAGGAAACAAGGGCTACTGGGACAGATATGTAACTGCTTTAAAAGTTTTGTTTGGGGAACATAAATATGGATCTGATTTTATGATAATGGAGGGAAAATTAACATAGCTAAGGGAAGGCTACAAAATATTCAGCTTCTTTGGAGGCCAGGTAATAAGGTTTCCATCTACCTGCTATGGCTTCTGAATGGTAAGCAGCTTTTCTATCAAGTACGGGTTGGTAGCCCAGCTTGATTTAAAAATGAGTGTTACAGCTGTTGGGAAACAGGAAATGGGCTGGATTACACAGGCATCCAAAACTAACAAACACATATGGGCTTCCTGGTATGTAAATTTTTTTTGAGGTTAGAGATCTCCCTTTACAGAATTTAGTATATAACAGATTCAATAACCAAACTTCGTGACCTCTCAATATTAAATAACTAAATGTGCAAAAGAACCACCATTATATAGGTCAACAAAAGCTATACATTTTCTATGAGACAGTATGTGCACAGATTTTAGAGCTGTGAAAATACAATAAAGAGCACAACACATTTTGGTCACTTTATTAAATGACATTAAATAGTTTAAGTTTCAACTACTAAACAGCACTTTGAATGGTGAAAACACAGATAGTATATTGTCATACTTGAATGCTTTTCTTTAAAAACACAATTCCAGTCCTTATATATATTACAAAACAGCCTTAAAGGAAGAAGTGACATCTTTTCTACAGTACTTAAGATACTCAATACAGAACTGAAAAGCAGTCTAACAGAAACAAAGGCAAGTCTTCACAGCTGTATGATTTCAGCAGCCAAAGCTGGATGATGGACTGAAACATTACTATACAACTGGGACAAAACATATACAGTATCACAATACTAAGCAAAAACGCTTTACACCCGAAGAAATAAAACAGGTTACAAAATGTGGAGAATTTAGCAGGCAAAACTGTATTACAAGCAACATTTTAAATCATCATTTTTAACCATTGCAACTATTTAAAACATCTAAAACAAATATAAAAATGAGCCTTTTAGTATTTTATTGACATGATTTTTTTGTCTTTAAATATTTGTTAAAGCTTGATGTTATACTCAAAGTACATATTATGTAGCTAAAATGTCAGTGAGAAGAGTGTATGCAAAGTGGTCCAAGTTTTATTTCAAACTCTGATTTCCAATTAATCCTTCTAAGTGTTATTCTTTAAGTTATAGTTCCATCCATGGTGAAAAAGGTTTAGAAGGTTGCCTAAAATTTTCACATCTATGTCTTTGAGTAAATAATTAGACCATGTTGAAAATTCCCAGGTCTAGTAAATCAGGTTTAAAGTATTCTGAACTTGTAGAAATACCAACTGATAACAGTTGGCCAGAGTATACTGCCTTCAAATATTTCTCATAAATCTTGTCCTTTTCATTTTTTCTAAAGTAAATACACACCTGCCCCGCCCAATTAAATAAATCTGATTACATGGCTGGCATGATATCTAAATATACACAAATTATTAGTGATATCTCATCATGGGAAGGTGGGGGAGGGATCCACCAAACCTCACAGATTCTATTATCACAATTCTAGTGCTCCCGGATGTTTTACCACTAGTTATTTCAAGATAAAAATGGCAATCTCTTAATCATCCAAACAACTCAAAGCAGTTTTAGCTAATGTTAAATTCATTCTAATCCAGTGATACCTAGAGCAAAGCCTACACCCAGTTTTTTCTGAATTCTTAAGCTGTTTCACTACCTGTTATATCATCATCTCAAAAATGGTTTTGCCATGTTGAATTGACTCCCATAGTCAAAAACAATGTTTTCTTTAAGAATTCAAGTAACCAAAATTGTACATGAATAAAATTATAGGTCATTTTTACAGAACTGGATTAAGAAAAAAAATGTAATACATTTTCTAGTAAAACTTCTAGTAAAAGGGTATTGGATGAATTAATTTTGATTTAATAATTGCCTTATGATCTAAACTAAAAAAAAAAAAAAAACCAAAACTCTGAAACAATTTTTTAAAAATGTAAGGAAACTGGGGTAAAAGAACATGATGATGAGAGAAAAGAAGCGCATAGAAGCCAGTGACTCTTATCTTTCAGAGGAATATTTCACAATACCGATAGTACTGGGAATTGTTAAAGCACATTCCTCATGTGAACTTAAAGTCAGCAATGGTTCTGCCATTTTGATGTTGTTTATAAAACAGGGTGTGAACCTAACAACCACAACTTCAGTGTTAACCTCCTAAAATGCTAGAACTTGATTTTCTAAGTCCACATCCCACTGCCAGCAACAGGATGAAGCACTAGCACTGGCACCATGCAGTTAAGAGATGTGCTTTATATTCGTGCCAGGAGAGAGAAAATTCATGTGTGGAAGATAATCCACAACCCTGAAATTTTACCAGTAATTATTTCAGCACATATAACTGAAAATAAAAAATGGCAGGAGGACTAAAGAAGAAAAAGGAATTCTCTTCTTAGGCTATACTTAAGGCTGTTTATACAATGCTAAGATAACTGCAAGACTCCTCCAACTTTTAGAGCAGTAGTATTTAAGAATATTGCACACAATTCTGTGTCAAAGATAACTCTCAGTTTCTAACTTTCAGTCACAGAGATGATAAAGCAGGAGCCCAGTTTCAGACTTCAGTCAAAAGAACATTAAAACCATTTCAATCACTTTAATCAAGAAATGGATTAAGTACAAAAGTATTTCATAACTTGAGGAATCAACTCTAAGAACTCAGCTGTGTTTTTTTAATATGTAAAGAATGAATATATAAATCTTTATTCTTTCCTAAATTTATTAATTTTATGACAATTTTATGGTTGCTAAAAGCAGGCATAAAAATTTAGAGAGGAAATCTGTGGAGCTGTTACTATTATGGAAGGACTTGTTTTCACTGAAAACAATTTGAAATATCTTCTGTACTCAATGTGTGTAAGAAGATTCTAGGCAACATCACTGACAAATGTCAGGAAGAAATGGTATGCCCTATTTAAAAAAAAAAAAAGGAAAACTAATATGGAAGATTGGCATTTAAGGGGACCAAACTATTTATACAGTTGAGTTCTGTTAAGTCATTGATTCCTAAAAAAATAAAAGATCTTTCTATGATTTTAACAATCCATTAAGCTTTTAGTGCAAAATCACATTGATTTCCCTTGGGAGGGTCCTGGATTTTTGCTTCTCATTGGAGGTGGTGCACGCTGTAATGGTGGTGGCTGCATACCACCAGCCACTGGCTGATACATTCCTCTCATATCAATCTGCTGGTAGTTAGAAGGATTCATGATCAAATTTGGAGGCTTTGGCATCATGAGGTGACCCAGTGTTGCTTGTTGATAAGTCATCTGTTGCTGTTGCTGCTGATTGTACTGCTGCTGGAGCCTTCTGTTCATAAGTATTCGCTGAACACAGCTGATTAACTATAGAGAGAAAATGGGAGTTGTTACAAGTGCATGACCTGTCTCAAAAGAGGTATCAAGTTTTGACTTAAAATCGATTTGTTAAGGGGGTACCATACCAAAAGGAAAACACATTATTGTTATCACCATTACTAATTTGATGGCATTCACAGGACCATTACTGTAGAAACCAGTTAGTAAGACCATTTAGGGCTAAATTCTCTTAATGTCTTTACTATTGTATTGCAAGCAGCATTTATGTTAGTTGCCGTAGTAACGTGTTCCGCACTGTGATTAGTCTCAAGTATTAGTTACAGCATTTTTTGGTCAAGATTCTTTTGTCATTCTTTTGAGTATTTCACATGACAGACAAACATTTTAGTGACAAACACCAAAGGGAAAGGCACTTGCAGCAGGAATAATTCTGACCTAGAATGTCTCAAATTTCCTAAGATAATTTAAAACCACATAACCCTGCAGTGCTTTCTAAGTAAAATACATGCCACAGAAATGGATTCCCTGGTGTCAAGAGTTGAATTTTCCAAGTATAAGGCAGAAGGCTGGCAAACAATTGTGTTGGGAAACATGATCAACGATCCTGGAATACGGCGCGCTTTTAAAGAATTATATAACTTAATAGAAACCTTTGATAAGTATCATTCATAGCTCACTTTTTATTCTCAAATTAAACACACTGACAAGTATACTACTATTTTGAGGTTATTTAACAATGGCAAATGTGACTGGAGGCAGAGCAAGATGGCTGAATAGAAGCCTCCACTGATTGTCCTCCCTGCAGGAACACCAAATTGAAAAACTATCCACAATAAAAGCAACTTCCTGAGAACCAAAAATCAGGTGAGTAATCATTGTACCGGATTTTAACTTCATATCACTGAAAGAGGCACTAAAGAGGGTAGAAAACCAGTCTTGAACTGTCAATGCCACCCTTCACTCATCCCAAGAGCAGCCAGGTGGCAGGGAGAGAGAATCTCTGTGTTTGGAGGAGAGTACAGTGATTGTGGGACTCTTCATTGGAGCTCAGTGCTGCCCTGTCACAGTGAAAAGAAACACCAGGCAGAACTCAGCTGGTACCCACTGAGGGAGTATTTACACCAGCCACAGCCAGAGGGAAATCACCTATCCCAGCAGGTGGAACCTGACTTCTGACAAGCTTTGCTACCGTGAACTAAAGAGTTCTGCGATTCTAAATAAACCTGAAAGGCAATCTAGGCCACAAAGACTCCCAAGTCCTGTGCTGTGTTGTGCTGGGCTGAGAGCCACTGGACTTGGGGGTCATGTGACCTAGTGAGATACCAGCCAGGGTGGCCAGGAGATTGCTTGTGCCCCCACTTTGCAAATCCCAGGCAGCATAGCTCACAGCTCCAGGACAGACTCTTTCCTTTTGCTTGAGGAGAGGAGAGGGAAGAATAAAGAAGACTTTGTCTTGCAGCTTGAATATCACCTCAGCCACAGTAGGATAGGGCACCAGTCAGAGTCCTGAGGCCCCTGTTCCAGGCCCTAGCTCCTAGATGACATTTCCAGACATACCCTGGCCAGAGGAAACTCGTTCTCTTAAAGGGAATGACCCAATCCCAGCAGGATTCAACACCTGCTCTCTAAAGAGCCCTTGGGCCCTGAATAATCAGGTACTACTTGCAGTGGGCCTTCAGTGAGACTCAGAGACAGGCTACCTTCAGGTGTGACATAGCACATTCCCAGCTGTGGACACCATGGGAAGAGACTTCTGGTTGAGAAAAGAAAAGGAAAGAGTAAAGAGGACTTTGACATATGGTTTAGGTACCAACTCAGCCACAGTGGGGTAGGGTACCAAGCAGACCCTTGGGGACCCTAATTCTAGGCCTTGGCTTTTAGATAGCATTTCTGGACCTTTCCTGGGATGCAGGGGAGCCCACTTCCCAGAAGAGAGAGTCGTAGTCCTGGTAGTATTTACCACAAGCTGATTGACAGGCCCTTGCTTGGGGCCTGAGTGAACATCAGCAGTAGCCAGGTAGTACCTGCTGTGAGCCTGAGGGGGTTGCTAGTGGACACAGGGAGAGACTCCTTTGCTTGTGGAAAGGGAAGGGAAGGGTAGAAAGGACTTTGTCTTGTGGCTTGGGTGCCAGCTCAGCCAAAGTAGAATATAGCTCCAAGCAGATTCCTAAAGTTTCTGACTCTAGGTCCTGGATCTTGGACAGCATCTTGGGACTGGCCTTGGGCTGGGGGACATTTGCAGCCCAGAAGGGAAGGACACAAGCAGGGCACGCTTTGCCACATGCTGAATGTGGAGCCTTAGAACCTTGAGCCAACAAAGGCAGAGGCCAGGCAGTGGTTGCTGTGGAGCTTGGGTGAGACCCACTGCCATGCAGGCTTCAGGTCTAACCCAGTGTGGCCCCTGTGGAGGGAGCCAGAGGGGTGCTTGTGTCACCTCTCCGCCAGCTTTCCAGACAGCTTAGCACAGAGATTGATTCTGTTTGGGAGAAAGTAAGGGAAGAGAACAAGAGTCTCTGCCTGGTAATCCAGACAATTCTTCCAAATCTTATCCAAGACCACCAAGGTGGTATCTCTATGAGTCTGCAAGACTACAAGAGTCACAGCATTACCCAGCTTGGGATGCCCTCTAATGCAGATAGAGATGCAGTGACCAACAACTTAGATCACAATACTCAACTCTCTTTGAATACCTGGAAAGCCTTCCTAAGAAGTATGGGCACAAACAAAGCTAGATTGCAAAGACTATAATAAATACCTAACTTTTCAATAACCAGACATGAATCAATGTCCACAGCATCCAGGAAACACACCACCACCAAATGAACTAAATAAGGCCCCAGGGACCAATTCTGGAGAGACAGATATATGTGAATGTTTAGACAGAGAATTCAAAATAGCTGTCTTGAGGGTATTCAATGAAATTCAAGATAACACAGAGAAGAAACTCAGAGTTCCATCAGATAAATTTCACAAAGATACTGAAATAATTTAAAGTAATCAAGCAGAAATTCTGGAGTCAAAAATGCATTTGACACACTGAAGAATGTATTAAAAGTCTCTTAATAGCAGAACTGATCAAGGAGGAGAAAGAATTAGCGAGCCTGAAGACAGGCTATTTGAAAATGCACCATCAGAGGAGACAAAAGAAAAAAGAACAGAAAACAACGAAGCACATCTATAAGATCTAGAAAATAGCCTCGAATGGACAAATCTAAGAGTTATTGGCCTTAAAGAGGAGGCAGAGAGACAGATGGGGTATAAAGTTTATTCAAATTTTCCAAACCTAGAGAAAGGTATCAATATTCAATATTGTTAAAATGGCCATAGTGCCCAAAGCAATTTATACATTCAATGCTATTCCTATCAAACTATTAATGATGTTCTTCACAAAACTAGACAAAAACTATTTTAAAATTCATATGGAACCAAAGAAAAGCTTGAATATCCAAGGCAATTCTAAGCAAAATGAACAATGCTGGAGGCATTATGCTATACAACTTCAAACTATACTACAGAGCTACAATAACCAAAACAGCATGGTATTGGTACAAAAAGACACACAGATCAATGGAACTGAACAGCAAGCCCAGAAATAAGGCCACACACCTACAAACATCTGATCTTTAACACAGCTGACAAAAGCAATGGGGAAAGTACCCCCTATTCAACAAACGGTGCTGGGGTAATCAGCTAGGCACAGGCAGAAGATTGAAACTGGACTCCCTCCTTACACCATACACAAATATGAATTTGAGATGCATTAAGGACTTAAATGTAAAACCCAAAACTATAAAAACCCTGGAAGACAACCTAGGCAATATATTTCTGGATATAGGAATGGGCAAATATTTCATGATGAAGATGCAAAAAGCAATTACAACAAAAGCAAAATGGAGAAATGAAATCCAACTAAACTAAAGAGCTTCTGCACAGTAAAAGAAACTTATCAACAGAGTAAACAGACAACCTACAGAATTGCAGAAAAGTTTTGCAAACTATCCATCTAACAAGGAATATCCATTATCTATAAGGAACTTAAAGAAATTTACAAGAAAATAACAACCCCATTAAAAAGTGGGCAAGGGACATGAACAGACAATTTGCAAAATAAGACATACATGTGGTCAACAAGCATATGAAAAAAAGCTCAACATCACTGATCATTAGAGAACTGCAAATCAAAACCACAATGAGATAACTTACACCAGCAGTCAGAATGGCTATTATTAAAAAGTCAAAAGATGCTGGTGAGGTTATAGAGAAAAAGAAATGCTTAAACACTGTTGGTGGGAGTGTAAATTAGTTCGTCCATTGTGGAAAGCAGTGTGGCAGTTCCTCAAAGAGTAAAAACAGAACTACCATTCAACCCTGTGATCGTATTATTGGGTATAAACTCAAAGGAACATGAATCGTTCTATTATAATGATACATGTATGTGTTCACTGCAGCATTATTCAGAAAAGCAGAAACATGGAATAAAACTAATAATAAAGCTAATAATAAAGCTACCACTGCGTGTCAGTGGTACACCAGATAAAGAAAATGTGCAAATAAAAATAAAATAAATTCCAGAGAGGAGAAAAAAAAGAGAATCCATGTGTGTAAAGGTGTATGTATTCTCTAAATGTGCCTTTCTTCCTGATACCTACAGTGACTGACGCTCTAGATACGTGTGCCCTCTGCCCACTCATACTCAAGTCCCCTTGTAAGGCATTTATTATGGAATGCCCCATTATCAAGTTCCATAGCCAAAATTGAAACGTTGCATCCTGTGATTTCTAAACCTCAGCTAGCAGAGCCATAGTCTGCTACTGATGCCTCTGCATTTGGTTTATTGAATGCAGCTCATCACAAACAGGCTGACAAATTCAACATGTTATAGACAACTAGAGCTTTTCTTATTCCAACAGCAGCCCACTCAGCTATTAGTAATCTCAGAGATCAAAAATCAACTTTCTCATCTAGGCTTAAGACCCAGACCTCAGCGTATATCTTAAAGAGACTGCTGTCAATCTCTTTTAAAAATT